TACATCCAAGGACTACAACAACCTTTCCATCCCTCCCTGTGGGCTCCTGCAGTGTGCTGCTGCTGGTGGGAGGGATGGCAGCTCCAGAGCTTTGTAACACATCACCCGGGTGTCCCCAAGGGACAGAACAGGGAGGATCAGGCCAGACCTCTTCTCTACCTCTTTTATCATGGGATTCTCAACACCACAAGGGGAGATGGGAACAGGAAGACAGCACAAGAAATACTTCATTAAAAGGAACTTCATTAAAAGTAAATAGATAAGAACTTCTAAGAGCACAGCACAAGGCCTGGGGGAGGGGAAGAGTGGTGCTCTGCTAATTTTCTCATCAGACACCCTTCTCTATTACTGTCTCCTGGCTCCTGCTCTGAAAGTCAAGTGGAATTGTCAAGAGGGATCACCTGTGATTTAAAGTGCAGTTCTCCTTCAAGACATATGTAAATTTGCCACCTTCCTATTTGGAGCCTCTGGGACTGGGAATCAGAGCTGCTGAATTGGAGGGGCGGAGGAAGAAATCACTGCTCTTTCCTTGTCTTGTTAGCCCTACTAGTCCAGCCCTTAACTGAAACAGAGATGGGAGAGCAGGCTCCTTAGCTGGTGCCTTCAGGAGCAGGTAAGGGGACCAGCAAGTGGTGTCTGCCCCACCCCAAGAGGTGGAGGGGAACTTAAGGCATAGAAGAGGCTGCGTGAATATTCTCTTCCTCCTGTCCTGGGGCCAAGGAAATTAGAAGAGATTGTGGTCTGTCCTGATTTAGTCATCTTTAGAGTTAAAATGAACTTGGGCAGGATGCTTCAGCCCTGCCCTCCTGCCATAAATCCCATCAGATTTGGATTAACAAGGAGCTGGACCATGCGAGACTGCTGAAAAGCTTGTTGTGTGTATGCATTTCTGTGTGTGCCTGTCTCAGTGGCTGTACAGAGATATGTTTAAAAGAAGGTTAATTGGTCTCCTGGGAACTATAAAGAACCTGCTAGGTTCCTCAGTGTGAGCTGTGACTGTATGAATCCTAATTACTAAGCCTGAGTTATTCTTTTATATGGGGGGAGGGAATCTCTAAGGTTCTTATTAAAACCTACAAAAAGTCTAAAAAATGATGGAGTTAGAATTGATTTGTCCATGTTGATCAGAAGTGCAGAGCAAACAAAACCATTGAGCTTTCCCCTGGAAATATTAATGGGGATCACATAGGCCTGGCTTACACATCACTGTTGTGGGCATAAACAGAAACCATTGTGCTAAATGGCAAGAATTGCAGACCACAGACTTCCAGGTAAGGTGCACTCCTTTTGCTTAGGGCAGGGAAAATTCATTTTATAAAACAGCCATAACAAATGTATTTTCAGGCTAATTAAATTTTTAATAAAGGAAAGGAGTTTTGTTTGGAAAAATGTATATTCAAAGGAAAGAGAAAGTAGTAATCTGAATAAGAATAAAAGAGAAAAGGAAAAGAGGAATTCTAACATGGCTTTGGTCTGAAGTGAACAAAAGCACTTGCTTTGGATTTTCTGATGGTTCTTTAGATGTTGTTGAAGCTCCATGGAAGGAAACAAAGCTCTGTCTGTTTTGGAGGGGGTGCAGCATAGGCAGGGGCAGTTCACAGCTCTCTGCCCATGTTTGGCACTCAGTTGTGGAGGAAGTCTCACAAAGTAATGACAGTTATGACAACTACATGGATCCCATTCCTACCTGTGCCACCCACAGCCAGTGATGGCAGGGCTGCAACACAGACACTGCTGTGTTGCTACAGCTCTGACACCAATCTGCACATGTTCATGTGAGGCAAGAGTTAT